ACTGCAGAGAATATTTGCGGTATGAGATTCGTGTGTGTGTGTGTGGAGAAGGCAACGAAATTGAGTGAAAATATTATAGTGAGGAATAAGGCAGAGTTTGGAATCAAACTGGAGTGATGGATGGATGACTTTCATCTGATAGGTTTGGATGTATGGAGAAAGTCGTTTCAATTCGGACTTACGAATAAAAAATTTTTTGTTTTGTAGAGAAAATATTGGCATGTTTATGAATTAAGAGGCAACTATAGAGTCTTTATGAAGAGAAGTGATGGCTGCAAATGAACATTACCTTCATGATCCATAGTATTATCTTGCCTTTCAAAGAAGCTGGGGACAAATTTTGGACAAATGAAATGAAAACAAATGATGAATGAAAGTTTCAGATTATGTTTACTTCGAAATATCCAGCGCAGCTCCATATCAAGTACGACGTATTGAAGAGCTGAATAAGGTATGATCATTGTTTTGTTGGATTTTAAACTCTTCTGGATTTTTTTTTAGTCGATCTCTTTTGATGAAATCTTTGAGTGGAATAGGGAGGAAAAGTGATTCAGATTTAGGTAATTGATATCATAATGGATATCGATTGTGTGTAATTTCGTTTATCTGTTTTTATATCAACGTGTCCACATTCATCAATTCAACACTCCAATGAAGGACACTTCAATTGACAAGAGAACATTTTTGAACGGTATTAGAAAATGTTGTCGAAGTATTATAAATTCAAATTGATTTGTATTCTCTGTTTTTTTCAGACGCCAAGTGGAAATGTAGAGGCAAAAGTGTTATGTTATTATAGACGTCGTGATATATCCCCAGGCTTGCTGAAAGTTTCGGATCGTGCCGAATGTGTGGAAGATAGTGAGTGATCATTTTGAATGGAGTTTTGAGATTTCGATGCGGTTGAAAAGATTCTGAACGATGACTTTAAGTGTTTAGTTATGAGTTTAGGTGCAATTTGGTTTTGGCTGGTTGTGACGGTGATTAAGTAACATTGAATGATGCAACTGCGGGAAGCTTTAAACTGATTTTGAGATTAGAGCAGTGGAAATTTGGTGCTGAGAATAGGGAAGTATCGCTATCCACTTGAGTATTGTAGGTTATGAATGCTTAATCGCTGTCTCATATTAAAGAACAGTTCAGTGATATTCTTGAAAATTCGTGCGGTGATAATTTCAATTAGTGAGGTCATTTGCGTTCAGTACGTTGATGATTTTCATTGGAGCATGTTGAGGAATTTTTCAAATTGTGTTGTCATTTCTGTTCCGTTTGAAGAGATTGTTTTCTCTTTTTTGGCTTAGGAGCACTGATCAATACGCGTCGTCGACTGACGGCATCATCTTCTGGGAACAATAAAGAATCGGTGAATGGAGACACGAATGGAGAGGAGATTGCGTTGAGTGAAGGAGAGAACGGTTCGTGATTGAGTCGTTGATTTTTTGGTGTGCTGATTGATGTGAACGCATTCGTTATTTGGAGGTCGAGCGATCGATG